CATTGTGTACCGAAACAACAGAAGCCAGGATGATACAGTAACTGATTACATTGCTTTTCTTGAGTTGACTCAACTTGAGGGCATGAGTTCACCCAGCTCAGACTTCTTAGTTGAGTCAGAAATTCTCCCAGCTACTGTTTCTAGGTCTGCATCTTAGTTAGATAAACAAAACTGAATTTGCACTCTTTTTCTCAATTTCCCCACTAGCTGGCACTCCTTCTATCACACGGTCCCATCTGGCATACTTTCCTCTTGGGCTTCTGGATATGGATAGCTATGGTATTGCTGGGATTCAAACTCACAACATCCTGATGTTGGGATGAATTATTAGACAGCTGCACCACATGAGACTATGCCATGCTTCACAGTTAAAACAACAAATAGTTTCTCCAGTGTATTAAACATTTGTAGACACAAAATCTGAGTGGTGCAGTGGACTAAGCCGTCACCCCAACAGGAGGTTGTGAGTTTGAGCTCCAGCAATGCCATAGCTGTCCATAAGTGTGTACCTGAGAGGAAAAATGTCTAGCATGATAGTGTGATGACATTTTAATTACCTGAGATGCAGAAATAAAAAAATAAGAGAAATTTTGACTCACCTAAGAAGTTTGAGTTATGTCCTCAAGTTGAGTCAACTCAAGAACAGCCATATAATCAGTTACTATATCATTTTGAGTTGAGCTGACCTCTCAGTTTTAACAGTCCACAATAAAATGGAGCATCTAGAAAGAACAGCAAGACCTTAACCTTGTCAGCCAAGTTGTGACTGAAGTACTTTAACACATATTTTGGGCGTGGCTATTTGAATATATCCAGTATCATCTTAGAAGTTATCCAAAATCATTTTATTATAATTTTACTTAACCAAGTAGTTGAATAGGACGAGTGTAGTTTGGAATATATAAATATATATAAATCATATCATTTTTAAAGTGTTTGAGTAAAAATGGACATGGAAATGAAGATAACGTTAGAATATACACTACTAATATTGTGCTGTATGTTAAGTCAAGTCAAAGTTTATTTATATAGTGCTTTTTACAAAAGGTGTTGTCATAAAGCAGCCTTACAGAAAAATGTGGGTCCAAGCCCCCCATAAGCTGCCAGTGGCAACAGTGGCAAGGAAAAACTCCCTAAAGGCAAGAGGAAGAAACCTTGAGAGGAACCGAGACTCAAAAGGGGAACCCATCCTCCTCTGGTCGACACTGAATAGCAAAAAATAACACAGGAGAATAAGGTTTTAACGTTAGTGTAAAATAGTAAGATACAGAAACGGGGAAAAGCAACTAAACAACAGCCTTTATTAAATAGTTTCAGTCTGTGCAGCAGCAGCATCATCAGGAGGGTCAGTTCATGCAGGTGAGGTTTGCACAGTGGTGTACAGCAGGAAGTCTCCACGGTGGTCAAACTGGTCTAGAAGGCGGCCGAGCAGTGGGCATTTTAGCAAAGCTATATATGAATGTTTTTCCAGGAAACAAATGATTCAGTTGCACAGTGCAAGATGATCAGGCACTTGTGTGCAATTAACAAATACGTTTAATGTAGTGGCCACCAACTGCCCACTACATTAAAACCCCCTCCTTGTTTCTACACTCATGGTCCATTTTATCAGCTCTACTTATCACATAGGTGCACTTTGTAGTTCTAAAATTAGACTGTAGTCCATCTGTTTCTCTGCATACTTTGTTAGCCCCCTTTAACCCTGTTCTTCAATGGTCAGAACCCCCACAGGACCCCCACCAAGCAGGTATTATTTGGGTGGTGAATCATTCTCTGTGTCAGTGTGTGTTGTGCTGGTCTGAGTGGATCAGACACAGCAGTGCTGCTGGAGTTTTTAAACCCTTCAGTGTCACTGCTGGACTGACAATAGTCCACCAATCAGAAATATCCAGCCAACAGCGTCCTGTGGGCAGCGTCCTGTGACCACTGATGAAGGACTAGAGGATGACCAACACAAACTGTGCAGCAGCAGATGAGCTGTCGTCTCTGACTTTACATCTATAAGGTGGACGAACAAGGTAGGAGTGTCTAATAGAGTGGACAGTGAGTGGACACGTTTTTTTAAAAAAACTACAGTCTGTAATTGTAGAACTACAAAATGCACCTGTATGGTAAGTGAAGCTGATAAAATGGGCAATGAGTGTAAAAATAAGGAGCTTTTTAATAAGGTGGCCAATTGGAATATATCATATTGTGTAGTATCATGTCATATCCCTGCATCATTGCATGTTGGCTTCAGATTTATAGATGTCTGCCCATTCAAAGAGACTGACTGGAAATAACAAGAGGGTCACTGAGTGGACAACTTTTATGTTAGCTTTTGGGTAGTGTGTTAAGGTGTGGCTAACATGTTTGTGGCTGTAGCATTAGATCAGGACACAACAAAGCACAGCTGTTGTTTAAAATATTGCACTTTTATAATGTTGAATGCTGAATAAACTGAAATTTAAACTGAGACGCCACTGTGTTGTAGTTAACAGTTAATATGTCCATATCTTTAAACATGTATTAGCATATTAACAGCATGCTACTGGTGTTTTTGTTGGTGATTTAAAGTTAGTAATGCAGCAGCTCAAACATGCGACAAATATCCTTGTTTTAGAGTTTGTGTTCTTTCCTCTTCCAATTTACATCCATTTACATCTATTCACAGTGCTTTCACAATGGAATTGATTGGTGCGTTGAGACACAGAGTGATTAGCCTGTGATTACAAGTGTGCGTGAGGTGGATAGTGTGTGTTCATTTGGGTAGAGTAATCGGGGGGGGGGGTAATTACATAGAGTATGCAAATGTAATAAGTGTGAGAGAGCAGAGTACTGAATGTTTGGTTACAATCTCTTTTAGATCAGAACATTTGTGTACTTTCTTCTCACAAGTACTGGCTTTTGCCATTGTTTATGATACTTCCGACACTTCCATTACTACCATTCTGCCTCATTCTTCCACCATGCTTCCTCAATCTTTCACCATTCTTCCTCATTCTTACTACCATTCTGCCTCATTCTTTCTCCATTCTCTCATTCTTCTACCATTCTGTCTCATTCTTCCACCATTCTGTCTCATTCTTCCACCATTCTTCCTCATTCTTCTACCATTCTGCCTCATTCTTTCACCATTCTGCCTCATTTTTCCACCATTCTGTCTCATTCTTCTACCATTCTGCCTCATTCTTTCACCATTCTGCCTCATTCTTCCACCATTCTTCCTCATTCTTCTACCATTCTGCCTCATTCTTCCACCATTCTGCCCAATTCTTTCTCCATTCTGCCTTATTTTTCCACCATTCTGTCTCATTTATTTTCCATTCTGCCTCATTCTTCCACCATTCTGCCTCATTCTTTCTCCATTCTGTCTCATTCTTCCACCATGCTTCCTCAATCTTTCACCATTCTTCCTCACTCTTCTACCATTCTGCCTCATTCTTTCTCCATTCTGTCTCATTCTTCCACCATTCTGTCTCATTCTTCTACCATTCTGCCTCATTCTTTCACCATTCCGCCTCATTCTTCCACCATTCTGCCCCTTTTTTTCTCCATTCTGCCTTATTTTTCCACCATTCTGTCTCATTCTTTTTCCATTCTGCCTCATTCTTCCACCATTCTTCCTCATTCTTCCACCATTCTGCCTCATTCTTTCTCCATTCTGCCTCATTCTTTCTCCATTCTTCCTCATTCTTCCACCATTATTCTTCATTCTTCCACTACTCTTCCTCATTCTTCTACCATTCTGCCTCATTCTTTCTCCATTCTGCCTCATTCTTCTACCATTCTGCCTCATTCTTCCACCATTCTGCCTCATTCTTCCACCATTCTTCCATCATTCCGCCTCATTCTTTCTCCATTCTGCCTCATTTTCTCTCCATTCTGCCTCATTCTTCCACCATTATTCTTCATTCTTCCACCACTCTTCCTCATTCTTCTACCATTCTGCCTCATTCTTTCTCCATTCTGCCTCATTCTTCCACCACTCTTCCTCATTCTTCTACCATCCTGCCTCATTCTTCCACCATTGTTCCTCATTCTTCTACCATTGTTCCTCATTCTTCCACCATTCTGCCTCATTCTTTCTCCATTCTGCCTCATTCTTCCACCATTATTCTTCATTCTTCCACTACTCTTCCTCATTCTTCTACCATTCTGCCTCATTCTTTCTCCATTCTGCCTCATTCTTCTACCATTCTGCCTCATTCTTCCACCATTCTGCCTCATTCTTCCACCATTATTCTTCATTCTTTCTCCATTCTGCCTCATTCTTTCCACCATTCTGTCTCATTCTTTCTCCATTCTGCCTCATTCTTACACCATTCTGCCTCATTCTTTCCACCATTCTGCCTCATTCTTTCTCCATTCTGCCTCATTCTTCCACCATTCTCTCATTCTTTCTCCATTTTGCCTCATTCTTCCACCATTCTTCCTCATTCTTCTACCATTCTGCCTCATTCTTCCACCATTCTTCCTCATTCTTTCATCATTCTGCCTCAGTTTTCGATCTTTTTGCCTCATTCTTCCACCATTCTGCCTTATTCTTCTGCCATTCTTTCTTTTTTTTTATTTCTGCTATGTTTTTTCAGTTGCTCTTCCGCTACACTGACCTCAAAGGGTCAGCACCCTCTCTACACACTTTTGATCTCCACTGCCCTTGTATTCCTATCTTTCCTTCCTACTGCCCTCTCACTCATTCTCTCTTTCCTTCTTCCTCTCTCTCACCCCGCATACTAGATGCTGGCCTGCTGTCTCCATGGCAACCTTTGCTTAGTGGAAGTTGATTCCTGAGCGGGGAAATGTGACAGGAGAATACACGCAGAGGGAGAATATGAATAACAGAATTAATGAAATAACTACTTCTCAAGATGTAATTATGTTGAATGACCTTGTACGAACGTAGAAAAAAATTCTCTTTTTTGGTTTCTTTTTCTCTCCCACAATCTACCTCTCATCCCTTTTTTTTACTCCTTTTTCCTCCTGACTTCTTCTCCGTTTCTCTCTTTCTCTCTAATTAGGGTTTCCTGAGCCGCAGGTTAAAGGGATCTATAAAGAGGACCAAGAGTCAACCTAAACTGGACCGAAACAGCAGCTTCAAACACATCCTGCCTGGCTTCAGACCCGCAGACAATGACAGGTGAGAACTTTCTATGACAATTCTATTAAAGGAATAGTTCGACAAAAAATCTAATTTGTGTAATTGTCAAAGGTTATCATGTTCATGCACTACCAGGGATTGGGAGGGGTACACTAGTAGAGTAAACTGGCACACTGGTGGTAGCAGGTTAACACAAGGGAATACTAAACAACATATCTAGGTGGAAAGTTGAAAACATGGCTTGAAACACTTGAGGATGGGGGGACATTATAATGCCTTATAATATAATGTGCTTATTAAATCTGAACAAGACAGTAGCTGGTAATTAACTGGCTGCTTATTACTACATTATTAAGCCTTCTTGAGGCCTTCTACACGACTGTTTCCTGTCTTCAGTGGATGTTCGGCCAGTATGTTAGTTTCTTGAGGTAACATTGACAACAGAGGAAGATTTTTTCATTGTTTTCTGTTCTAGTTAGTGTCTGCTATAGTTAGCCTACTTCCAGCCACAGGAGCACTGGAACAGTTAACAGAAGATTCAACCACTCATGCACACTTCTAGAACAACCTTCATTAAACAATTAAACACCAGCAACAAACATGTACAGTACTGTGTGAAAGTCAGAGATCATCCTTTATATAATTAATATTCAGTCAAAATAGCCATTAAGTTCATACAGATCATCCATAACACTAAAACCACCTCCTTGTTTCTAAACTCATTACCTATTTTATCAGCTCCACTTACCATATACTGCACTTTGTAGTTCTACAATTACAGACTGTAGTTCATCTGTTTCTCTGCATACTTTGTTACCCTGTTCTTCAATGGTCAGGACCCCCACAGGACCACCACAGAGCAGATATTATTTAGTTGTTTGACCATTCTCACCACTGAAGTGACACTGACGTGGTGGTGGTGTGTCAATGTGTGTTGCACTGGTCTGAGTGGATCAGACACAGCAGTGCTGCTGGAGTTTTTAAACACCTCAGTGTCGCTGCTGGACTGAGAATAGTCCACCAACCAAAAACATCCAGCCAACAGCGTCCTGTGACGACTGATGAAGGACTAGAGCAGCAGTGACCAACACAATCTCTGCAGCAACAATGTGCTATCGTCTCTGACTGTGCATCTATAAGGTGGACCAACAAGGTAGGAGTGTCTAATAGAGTGGACATTGAGTGGACACAGTATTTAAAAACTCCAGCAGCACTGCTGTGTCTGATCCACTCATACCAGCACACCACACACCAACACACCACCAGTGCCACTGCAGTGCTGAGAATGATCCACCACCCAAATAATACCTGCTCTGTGGTGGTCCTGTGGGGGTATTTCTGTCCATCTTTCCACTGTGACAGGAAAACTCAACACTATGTGTCTAAAGGATGTGTAGCTGCCAAGAAGCTGTTGCTGAAAATAGGTTGTAAATCAAACAAAGAAGCTGCTGGTGTTCTCCAAACGATGCACTGACCACCACAGACCTCACCATCACTGAATGTGTTTGGGATTACTTGGATTGTGAGAAGCAGAAAATGCAACCAACTTCTAAGCCTGAACTTTGGAGGTGTGGGAAAATATCCCTGCAGGTTTCTTTGAAAAACTGAAAGTAACTCACCAGAAAAGTTTGTGCCCAACTTTGATGAGTGAGGACTTTAATGTGCTTAATACACATTTTGCATCATATTTTAGAAGCTTCATGATTCAGGTAGAAAGAGCTACGGAGGGGCTGAATCTGGTCCTGACATCCATACAATCCTATACTTAAGCCTGACTCAAAACTGCATTTACAACACTGCATATGCATCCGGCTCATGATAGCAGCTAAAGAAAGTGTATTTGGGTTTGAGTTCCTGTTTTTGACAGCTGTTACTGAAGTATAAATGAGGGGTTTTAAATGTGTGTACTCACACTGAGACATGGCGAGTGTGTGTGTGTGTGTGTGTTTGACAGGTAGCTGGTTATCGAGGTCACTGTTGACACGCTGTGAAAACTGACAGTGCTTTACACTCCAATCTGTCGCTTCCTCATCCCTCCACTATTCCCTCTCTTCCTCTCCTCTTATAAATAGCTCTCATTTTAGATTCTTCTGTCTGTTTTCTGCTGTTTCATTGCTAAGGCTCAATAGCTCCTGTCTTTCTGACAGAAGGCATATTGTGGAATGAACATCACTAGTTCACGATGGATTGGATCATTCATTGGTTTCTGGTGTCCTATGACCTTATGATTTTATAATGAGGCAGAAAAAACGTTCTTGATACGTTTTTCTGATTTTCCGTCATGTCCCTCACACTTTTGAAATAGTTTTGGCCGGTTGCAAGATGATTGTAAAAAAGCTAACTTTACTAGCTTTTCATTGTATCAACATTATGTGATTCTTGTCTCTCTAGGCCAAAAAAGGTGCCCTTATCTGGTCCATAAGTATCTCCAAATTGGTAACTTTACAGGAGAGGGCAAAAATGTTCTTTAATTGCCGTGTAAGTTATTGTAGATGTTATCAGAAGCAATTTTAGGGCATTTCGATTTGACCAATGGTCATGAAACTTTCACACATTGTGAAGGACGGCTGCTGAGCTTTAATTATGTGGAAAACAAAATCACTAAAATCACACTTTTTTAAGAATGGCAGCTGTAATAAAGGTGTTTATTAGTGTAGATGTGAAGGCCTCTGTGTGTTTTTCTGTTAAATCCATTTTTTTTCTCTTTTTCCCTGAATAACTTGTACTTCATGTCTTCTCTGACTGGAATAAATGAAAGGTGGTCTTTGACTTTTGAACAGTAATGTAAACACAAATTAAATGATTCTAACACTACTCCCTTCATAGATTTCAAATAAATTGCAGAAAGCTGTAAATGTATTTGTAAAGCAGTGGTCAGACCTCAAGACGGATGCTTTGGCAAGAATTATTAGAAATACATACACACAGATACAGTAATATGCAAACGTTTGGGTACTCTTGGTCATATCACCCATTTTGCTGATTTTATTCGTGAATATAAGTTACCACATCCTCTACAGAGAACACACTTCTGCAAATTTAAATGCACAACCACTGTTTATCTGCTGAATTTAACATTGGGAAAATTAAACTTTTTGGGAAAAAAAAAATAATAAATACAATTAGGTTTGTTTATATCCATCCACATCAATAGTTATTGCACAATTGATATTTTATGTTTCATTTTTTGAAAATATGTCAAATATTTTCTTGTGAAATTCAGCAAATGAACAGAAACCGTGCTCAAAAAATTTGGCCAGTGGTATCCTGCAGTAATTTTTTGCATATGACTGTATTTACAGAGTATTAGTTATACAGTAAAACTATGTAAAATAACAGAAAATAAAGTGAAAAAGTGATTAACATTGGTGTGCAGTATCATTTTGAATAGCTGTTACTTAATAATATCCTGTTGCACTGAAATATTATATGAAACATAACATAAATTGCTGCCTGGTTATGTAATTTCACCCCTTAAAATCTCAGGCTTACTACATATTAAGACTTATTATTCAGTGACAGGGACTTCAGTGCAAACTGGCTGAGCTATTTTTAGGTTATAGAATTGTATAATAAAACTTTTAAGGGGTTAAATCTCCATTGCAGTAGTGAATAAAATATTAATATATTAGAGTATTGAGTGATGCTAAAATGGTAGTGTGAATTTCCGAGCTCCTTTTTGCCGTATAACTTAAATGCTTCAGGATAACGTCGATGCTTACGATGAATAAGCTCATTATAATCTTATCTACACTATCCTACACTACACATTTTTGGCAGTTGCACTCATTCGCTGTTCATCCTTCAAGCTTTCAAACCACATTGTTTCCCTCTCTTGCATCATGCGTCGTAAATCACTGCTATATTCCTCCTTTCATAGGCCTAACCATCAACATTTCTGCTGCTATCTTTAGCTAAGGCTTGGCCTCAGAGTCCTCCTGTGTTGCCTTTTGTGAAACAGTAATACCCTTGAGCTGCACCTTGCAAATTCTCCTTTACTTCCAATCTCAACAAAAGCCTTGAGCATTTCTCTCGCTAATCTGGTCATTAGCTGTTAGCAGGTCCCCTGTTCAGCTTTGCATTAGCTGTTAGCTTCTCTTATGCATTTAGGCTTTAGCATGTGCTGTATGCATTACCCAGTAGTAGCAGTGTTAGCAAACTAACCCAAGTCTAATCTCCGAGCTGCTCATCCATTCTTTCTCCAAATGAGATTATATGCTGTGTGGACTAATCCAAAAAGCATCTCATTTAACTGGATTAAGTGGAGTCATTGTCTGCATGTGGATAGTATGAGTTGACTAGTCTGTTGTGGTAATGGTGGTAGTGGTAGAGAAAGGGGGAATGAGTGCACTGGAGCTTTGTGGAACAAAATGGATCGCTGTTGGACTCATGTATTCAGTGCCAGGCCTTGTGTAAGTGCCATTTTTTCAGATGAGTATATCTATAGTTGTTTTGGGGTCTAGATGGATGTGTGTAAGTACGTTGATGCACTTGGTGTTGCCAGATAGTCTAATAGCAACTGCCATTAAGTAAAGATAAGGATTGTCGTAGATAGCAGTACTGCATTATAAACCTCCTAAGGGACGTTTCAGTATCAGTAATCTGCAGTGCATCAGTAGCTACATTTCCATTGACTTTCTGCACAAATTGCAAATTGCATTAAAAATGGGAAACACTTTGCTTAAACCCTGCTACATCGCCATAATCATTCCATAAACATATTATGGCAGATGTTATATGCTGTCATGACATGTTATGGGCATTATAATAACATTGTCATGTTCCTATTACTGGTAATTGTTATGATGCTTGATGTCATTACAGCTAACTAGAGTACACAGCAGAAATTAGCATGTGGCATAAGTCGTCATGGTAATTACCCGTAATGGTAACATGATATTGCAATATTACTAATAAATATCTGTCATGACAACTTATGACATCATTTAGCATCCGCCATGACATGTTTAAGGCATGGTAATGTCAATGTTATGAGGCAAGGTTTAAGTGTTACCTAGAAATGTTTGCCCATCAGTTTG